TGGTGCAGATCAATGGCTTCGTCGATTGAGTCAGCACCTGCAAGGCAATCGTCGACGTAGAATGCACTTTCAACCGCATCGGCAGCTTTCAGGAATTCTAGTGCATGATCCGACGCATTACGTTTCACTGACATATTGGCAGCAAAGGACGAGGCAGACACACCGAAAGTTAGACAAGTCATGCGATAGTCCTTGAGAAGTTCATCTTCATTGCTTCGCCACACAAATCGATGCAAATCTTGATCGGATTCGATAAGTTCAATGGCCCGATACATTTTGCTTACGTCGGCTGTCAGAGCAATACCGTGAAGTCTGAATCGAAGCAGAACGTCAATCAAAGAGGAATTAACTGTAGGACCAACTAGCAAAATGTCGTTGAGAGAAACGTTGGAGGAGGATTTGGCGGAAGCATCGAAGACAGCTCTGATCTTGGTAGTGGTGCTTGATTCCTTCTTTACAGCATGCATAGGAAGATAGAACACACTCTGTTCGGGTTTGTCGAGATCTGCAGTAGGTACAAGTTCAGCGTGTTTCAATTTACTCTTGCATTACTGCATCAAAGGCCTGGAATTCACCCTTGGCGTGCGGAGATCATTCAAGCGATACGAATCTCCGAACGGCATGTGATCTTGACTCACCCAATGTCGGAGCACGAGGTTTCTTGGGTAATGGCACAACGAATCTGCCATCAGCTGCACGATAATGGGATTTGTTGAAGTGCTGCACAACAGACCTTTCTTCTGGGGATAGATTGGTTTCATGCTTCGTGCTCTCCTTTATTTCCCAGAATTGTCGTAGAAGGTCGTCACCGGTTGCAATCAGGGTGTGATGTGAGGTGATGAACGACCCTGGAGTGGGCTCAGTAGTTGGACCAGCTAGCACCCATCCAAACACGGTTTCAAAGGCAGCGGGAGTACCAGGAGGTCCAATCCGCCGGCCGTGCAACAACGACGACGTGAAGACTTTAACACCGAGAAGAATGTCGATTTTCCCCGGAGTGCCAAAGTGTGGATCAGCGAGAGGAATGTCATTTAAATGGGTCCACGTGGGACCAAACGAGACAGGGTGAACCGGTAGGTCACAAGTCACCCGAGAGCCACAATGGCGGCAATTGCAATTAGTTCGAGGTGATGAGATGGTGAGATGGGTGAGAGATTGAAGAGAATTACGAGTTAGACCTGCAACCCCACACATTGTGGTAGTCTGGTGTAGACTAGGAAGGCAGAGACTCTTGACCAATCGCTCTGACACAAATGAAGCCGAAGAGGCAGAGTCGAGCAATGCTCTGGCATTCACAGTGGAACCATCTGGACCATAATTCTACAGGTCATTAGCAGTGAATTAGTGGCCAGACTAGCAATTGTGTTTGCAGAAACGTGAGGAGTCTTGGGGTTAGGATTTGGAGTGGTAGTCAGGCCAGGTGAGGGTGTGGTCGAAGTAGGGGGATTTTCGATGTGGAGCAACGTGTGGTGAGGTTTTTGGCACAACTTACAATGATGCAAGGATTTGCATTGTTTTATGAAATGCCCAGGTTTAAGACAATTCATGCAAAACCCATTCATCTTCAACGTTTGAATTTTTTGTTCGTGTGGCAAAAGCCTGAACTGCTGACAAGCGTAAAGAGGATGTTTCTCCGTCTTGCATACAACACAATTGTGAGAGGGGCCTGAGGCATTTGTCGCGAATGAGGTAACGGGTTTGTGTGAGAGGGACGGTTTCCTGTTTGAGGATGCATTGGAAGGTGTGGATCCCTTACGGGGCACAGATAGAGATTCGGAGGCTTGCGCACGAAGATTGATGAATTCTAACAACTTGTTGTAGTGTGGAATATCTGTGGATTCTTGACTATGCTTCTGCCATTCAAACATTGTGCTAGAGTCTAATTTCAATTCGAGAACGAATGTAACGAATGGCCCGGGAGCTTCGCAATCCATCGCTTTCAAAGCACGTAAATGCTGTTGAACTGTGTCATGCAATTTGCGCAATTCCTTTCCGCTTCCTTCTACGAGCTGGGGAGCTTCCAAGATCATGCGGACATGAGTCTGGTGAATTAGACGAGGCTTATCGTAGCGAGCTTGAAGACATTCAACAGCTTCAGCGTAATATTCACCGGAGCGAGAGAGGCCTTTGATCGCACTCTTAGCTGAACCACCCTTGAGCGATTACTGTAGGTACACTAGCTTCTCTGAATCTGAGAGATGCGTACGATCGTGAACTGCTACACAGAACTGTTCCCAGAACGACCTCCAATTGAGTATGTTGCCGTCAAACTTAGGAACATCGAGTTTGAGGAGTTTAACACCTTTACCTTCCGGGGACGCGATGGGAGTTTCAGATGTGCCAGACGCGGAGGACAACAATTTCTTTATGCAAACGGAACAATCAAATACCTGTTTCTCCAGGCTGTCTTGGAGTGCGAAGAGCTCGTTGCCTTCGTCTAGTTCAATGTGGTGCAAATCATCGCGAGTCTTCACGAGGTCCTTGTTTATGTCGTTCGCTTTCTCCTCGTACTGGCGGAGTACGCACGTGTCTGAGATAGCAGCTGTCTTGTCACCGACGATTGATAATATGGCGGAGAGAGACTTCTGTAGGTGAGCGAGTTTACGGGACGTGATTCTGCGCGAAGAGTCCACCGTGGAAGGTGAGGAGGCGGCGATGACTTGTTTTACACGTACACCGAGTTCAGCAACGAGATCATCGTGTGAATCCAGTACGTCTTGTTCCTTCGCGAGAGAGTTGTCGTCGTCCATTAGATCAATCAGAGCATGGTGATGAGCCCTAAATTCGGAGTCCAAATCCGCCAGTTTCTGGGACATCTGCCGAGCGAGCTCCAGCGTCTTGGGTTCTCCAGCTTCGCCCTCCAAGTCCTTGAGGCGATTGGACAGGCGAGTGAGCGAGGCGCGAGCCACACCCCTCCTCTTCTTGGCGTTAGCGAGCTGTCGACCAGCGTCTTCTTCGGCCATCTTGAGAGAGGAGCAAATATCGAACAATAATTATTATTGGGAGGTAGGCAGCGAACAGTGCGAGCTGTTTCTAAAATGGTTTATGTTATTTTATGACCATCAGTACTGCCTTCACCAGGAACAAACGGTGTTTTTTCCCCCGACCATCAATACTGCCTTCACCACGAAGAAGGCCTGTGCAGAAGGAAAGCAGCCAGACACAGCGTAAGAATTGCCCGTGGATTAAATCAGATCTCCTGATGTATACCATAAGGTTTTCTTTGATGACATAGTAGGAAGGCTGAAGGTTTGGAGTACTATATTGGACCATGGCTTTTCTCCAAGTAGTGCAGAGAATGTTCCAGCTGTGTTGAACATTTCCCAACAAACTGGATACAATGTGTGTGCAAAAGAAATTGCTCATCTTAAAGACTAGTGCCTGGGGAAATCCAGGATCTCTGCACGGAGACTCCGAGTCCTCCTGACACACCAGACAGGGAGCTGGAAAGGTGAGAATCTGACTGGTTCGCAAAGTATTTTTGCGATTTTTTTTACATAAAGCAGTGCTGGAGTTGAAGATGTGGAGGCAACTAAAGTGAAGTTGTTGGAAACGAAGATGGATCGATGACGTGAGTGTATGTAATCTTTCTAAAACACTATAGCTACGTATATTTCTCCGACCATCAGTGCTGCTCAAGTTGATACCTCCGCTCTGGAGAAGGCCTCTACAGAAGTAAAAGAGCATTCAGCTAGCAACTGCATTTTTCTGAAGTACAATGCAATGATGTGAGTGTTATGGATGAGCTCTCCAGTAATATTTGATGTTGGTTTTTAACTTTTTACACATGCAATGCTGCTCAAGTGGAAACAATGGAGCAGTGAGAAAATGTAAGAATTTCCTGCATAATTATGTGAAGCACTGTTTGCCCTTTCTGCTGATGCTGTGACGTAGCTCTAGCTAATTGTGCCATGTGCAGTGTGGAGCATAATATTGCAGCTGTGGAAAATATTTCTTCATGTATATATCAGCCAAGAAGAGCAACCAGATGCAAAGTATGTACAAGAGCTCAACAGCATAAAAGAAAAGAAAAATAGGTAAAATTAAGAGCAAAATCTAATTGTCAGGGCACTCCCCCTGCCACACCCAACCTCCCCTCTCCCCCCACTCCCTGTGACGAGGATTCTGATGACGATGACAAGAAAGAGGAGAAAGTTTGTGAGCCAATTGGTGTGAAGCTCGAGAATATCTGGGTTGATGCGAACAAGACCACTTCTGGGGCAGCTGGCTGGTTTTTCACATGCTTTGGAACTCTCTCCCACCATCTAGTTTCTAGCAACAGCACACGCTATACTAAGTGATATGTTATGACATCGCAAGGGAAAAAGTAAAGCTGCGTAAGATTCGCAGAGGAGGAAGTAGTGGGCAGTCATTTACAGATATATACCAAGATGCTTCTCCTCAGAAATGAAGGAAGCCCCGAAATAGCTTTAACCCCCCATCACAGAGTTGCTGGCTTGGTTCATCATCAGAAACAGACTGTACATAACGTTTCAAAGGTCCTGGATTCTCCATCTTCTGAGCTTCCTTAGATGCAGAGATGAAGCAGGGAATAGGGTCGAAGAAGAAGCAGACTGAGATCATTACAGAGGAGGAGGATTTATTGTGGGGCAAGGGGGTGCTTTGCTGATAAAACACCTCAACGACTCCTGGACACTACGGTGTTCTATATAATGGTTACATAGAGGCTCAGAGTATCTATCGCCGGCTACGACGCAGCCCTGGTCAGATTGAGATGGTAGAGCGACCAAATGAAAGGCTATACACCAAACATTTTGCCCAGCGGCAGCGGCTTGAAGGAGCACCACACAAACCTCATGGTAATAAAGAATCATGCAAACTTTGACGACGTGCATCAGTAATGCTTTGTGCGCCTTTTCAAAGAGTATAGCCGCTCATGAAGGAGCGTTTTACATGCAACCAACACGTAATAATAAAAAAACACCTACTGGCACTCAAGGCACTGGTGAAACCTGTCTTAACGATTTATTACCGATACTCCATTGGATTGACGTACGTATATATAGAGCTCGAAGAAGAACCACGACCAGTAAGTTTCAGCAGAGTGGCTAAGAATGGATATTTGAATGAAACGTTCTGCAGGATTAGCATCTATTGCATTTGGAAATGTTGATTGGTGATAAAAATAGCATTCATTAAGAAAGTGCATTTCTGCAAGAATTGAGCAAACTACTCCTTTTTCCTAGTAATTGGTTATGGAAACCATCCGCTATATCCATCCCTTGCTCTGCAACACCTGTATCGGTCCAAACCCAGAACATTAATGCAGAAGCACGTATCCGCACACATGGCTTCAACCTATCCTCGGCTACCTTCTTCCACTGCACCATTCACTTCAATATTGGCAACAAACCAGATCATCTTTTAGGATACCAATCCTTTATTTAGCTGTTATTGTCCACTTTCAGTTGTCATTTACATTCATCAGGTAATATTAACAGTTACATGCAATTACTATTTTTCTGCAGTAAACCTCACTACGGGAAAGAGTAAACCTCAGCTTTGCAATCTGATCGAATACATTTGAATACAGCTCACTCTAAAGGAACAGACACACACACACACAAACCAAATACAATGCCTTTGGCCCTATACACATGACAAATTGCCTAACCTGAGCACCAGTCCTGACAATGATATGTGTGGTCTGATCGGCGACGTCACTGGTTACATCTCCGTCATATGCCACCACATACCTCTCCCTCTCCCTCTTCAGCCCCTCATCTCCCTCATAGCCATGGAGGTAGGCCACCACCCCTGAGAACACATCAGGGAGTGGCTTACATCCAGAAGGTAGGAGGGAAGAGGGAGGGTGGGGAGGTGAGGGGAGGTGTGGAGGTGGGATATGTGAGGCAGTGGTGGGGAGAGATGAAGACGAAGAGCTAGCATGACTGCGTGGAAAGTAGTATCTGAACACTATGTCAAGGAATAGCATCCAGACAACACTGCAGCCATGCTGCACACAATAGAAGTCAAAAAACGCCTCCATAAACGTTCACCTGGTTGAATGGTGGAACTTAAGTGGAAAAATTTTTTTACTATCATAAGAGAGCAACTTGTTGAACATTACATGCAGATAAGGAGTGTGGGGGGGATACATGTAGGTGAGGATTGCAGCTGAAGTGAGATATTTCCTGACCAGTCTCTCTGTGCCATACCAGTTGAAGTGAGGGGTGGAGTGCCCAATACGGGGGAGGTGGACACTGGCTGTTGGGTAGAGCGGGTTCAACGTTACTTAAATGTTGATGAACCTTCAGCATTACATATGCACCGTGGCAATGGTAAGTGCACACTCAAGTCTAAACATAATACGGAGGAGCAGTGCTCTCTATCTGTAGCCACCACTTTAGTGAAATCTCTGTGGGCGTGCCAGTCGAGCTATGTGTAGCAAGGCACTGCTAGAAGACGTGTGAACCACGCTCCAGGTATGGTGTTCGGTTCCACAGACATGTTATTTAACAGATGTCAGTCTTGGAGATCAGATGCACGCATGCAGGGAGGAGAGATTAGACAACTCAAGATAAGACATTCTACCCAGACTAACATTGTGCAACACTTCCTAGCTAAGTGGATCCAGAAACACTGAGTGGCTGACCTGGCATAATATATACCTACCAACCTGCAGATGAACCTTTGCTTGAGAAATGTGTCAAATTTGCTTGATTTGGAGTATTTTTGCTTGAAAATGCTGTGTGTCCATTCAAAATGTATAGGCATGGTGCATCACAGGTTAGCACAAAAAAGAGGGATTTGGCAATTTTCTGGTGGGATAAGCAGTATTTTTGCTTGATTATCAAGCAAAAAGCGGGATGGTTGGTAGGTATCACCTGGGTGAGCTGACCACGTTGGCTTGCCCACATGCACAACAAAAGAGAGAGGTCTGCGGGCTGCTCCCCCGGCAAAAACGGCCTAGGAGCGACGCTAAACCGCTTACACACTCGACAGGTGGTTGTATGTGTAACCGGCCGACGCTTATTGCGCGCGAAGTGTACGTGTCAGCATGCATAATATATGTTTAGCGCTTTCACCCATTCTCCGTCCTCCCTTCGAGTTATCACGCCCCCAGGGAGTTATCGCGCCCCCGAGAGTTATCGCGCCCCCCCCAGAAAGTTATCGCGCCC